GGCATTGATACTCATCCCTAGGCTCACCAGTCACAAAATTGTAGCTGTAACCACCATATGTTCCATTATTACTAGTAGCCATTGTTGTTAGACCATGTGCCTGCCACTGCCTGAGTGCCTGGTTGTGCCATGTGGCAGACTGACACTTTATGTTGTTAATTAACCATTCCTATTGCATTATAATCATGGGCTATCATTTATATTTATTTAACTGGCAGAGCCTTTTTAACTTGGCAAATTAAATTAATTACTCAATTATGTTTAATGAATTAGAACTGTCAATACTATTTATAGTTTATGTTAATGTAGCCATGGCTTTGTCTTTGATGTAGCCTTTACACTGACTCTGAAGTACAGACTATCATTTTTTAGAAACCTTTGATTATTAGTTGACCTATAAGCATGTGATAAGAATTTATGATACCCCCATTCTTTGCTCTCTTGTCCTTTGCTCACTCTTTGTTTACATTCATCTGGTGTCGCTTCAGTATAATGTACAACCTCTTTCCAATGATTCTTATCCTCCAGTTGATTCAGTAGCTCTACTGTAACTTCTCCTTGAAATGGCCACTCCAATATATCATCATATTCTCCTCCCAAGAGGCTAATGAAGCAAGAGAAGTGTGTACCTTTACCATCACCATTACCGTTAGGATAGACATGTAGTGACATCTTGTATCCTCCTGGTGATGTATAGAAGCCTCGACTATGCCATCCTTCTTTCCTTTGTGAACATTGGCTGAATTTAAGCACTTCACTTGATGTCGTCAATAGATTTTCATGCTCTTGTACTTTTGATTTTAGAGATTGTATTGTCTCTGTGGCCTCTTTCAATTGTTGGTCAGTCAGTTGTAGTTGTTCTTCTGTCAATACTAGTTCCTCCTTTGTCAGCTGTAGGTGTAGTAATGATGATTCTTCATTGTGCTTCTCTTGTTCTTCTCTCTTCATTCTCTTCTCACATCCAACAGTATTGTATTCACATGGTATGATAGCTTTAGGGCAGGTCTCATTGTGTGATGCTAGTGAACGTCTCAATATCTTCTCATTGCAACCTTCATTACTGCATTGGATTGGGAGGTCAGGACACTCATCAAGATGACTGTTGCTTGTTATCAGTTGATATCGACCTTTTCGCTTGCAATACTGACAGTTAACAATGCGTTGAGTACAGTTGTCAGTCAGATGTGTCTCCAGTGTACTTCTCCTAATCTTCTCACCACACTCATTAGTACAAGGTACCAGGTGATAGATACAGCTGCTATTAAGATGAGTATCAATTGATGTACCAGTTTCATTAATAGTTCCCTGCCACTCACAACCCTCCTCACTGTTAGTACAGTGAATCTTAAGGGCTGTGATCTCATGATTGAGCTTTCCATCATTGAAAAAGCTCAATTCTTCTTGACAAAGAGGACATTTTGGTTGCTTCACTGATAGTCCAAGTTGCTCCAGACAGGTCTTACAGAAGGTATTGTAGCAGCAGGTAACTTGTTGAGGATCACAAGATACTAATGTACAGATGGCACAAATGTATCTACTGGGAGGATCACCATCAACAAACTTAAACTCATATCCACCATATGGTTTGGCCATTTTGAAGTAGAGGTGGGGCTTTATTTAATTATTACCCATTAATTACAATTTTAATTATTTCTTGAGCCTGTTGAGTACATGTACATATAATTGTAATATTATTTGTTGTAAGTTGAACTTTGATGACTAAATAACACTTTATTAATCCTATATACGCCTGCATTTGATAATACTTTAGTTTTATGTATTTAAAGTTAAGTTTTAGGAGTACACAGTATCACAAGTTTCCCCTAGCCATGCATACGGCTCAAATGTATCCTTTATACATTTAAGACCATGTAAGGGTCTGGCCAGCGAGACTGACCATGTGCCTGGTTGTGCCATGTGGCAGACTGACAATTAATCTTGTTAATAATTAAGTAAATAACCATTATTTTCATCATTATAACGGAGTACAAATACAGGCACCTGGACTCTTATCATACACCATGAAAACGTGTTTGTTTGATGAAACATGCTCAGGCTCCATTCACTCCTATATAATTTTTCAACTATAGCCTTTACAGTAACAGTTCCTTTGCTAGTCATGATGGCTCAAATGTATCCTTTTCATTTTACAATAAGTATAAACTAGTATGTTATTTCCAAGATGCTGACATATTCTAAATTGATTATACTCGAACTCTTCATCTGATATGAACTACTTACGACTCCATGCAACCTTTTTACAATTTTGTCTTGTTAATTAACCATCACAGTTATCTACTTTAACACTTTAACACTGGACAGCAGAAAAGTACAAATACAACATAAGTTTAGTGTGCATACTTCATGTGGCTACCGAAACAAAATTATTTTTAAAATACTGAATTCATTTGTGAGTTTATGTTAATGCCAGCCATGGCTTTGTCTTAGATATAGTGACTCTGAAGTACAGACTATCATCTTTAAGATACTGACATATAAAAACTGGATTATACTCTAACTCTCCATGTGATATGAACTGCATGTGACCCCATCCACTTGTACTGCTACCTTCTCTCACTCTTTGCTTACAATCATCATCTGTTGATTCATCAAACAATAAGGTACGCTTCCAATGATTCTTATCCTCCAGTTGATTCAGTAGTTCTATAGTAACTTCTCCTTGAAATGGCCACTCCAATGTATCATCATATTCTCCTGCCATGAGACATATGTAGCAAGAGACGTGTGTACCTTTATTATCACCATTACCATTAGGATAGACATTAAATGACATCTTATATCCTCCTGGTGATGTGTAGAAGCCTGGGCTACACCAATCCTCTTCTTCTTTTTTCTTTTTTGCATATTCATTTAGCTTAAAAACTTGATGGGTTGGAAGCAGCACCTCAATCTTCTTCACTGCTGCCTTCAGATGTTGTTTCATTGATTCTTCATTGTGCTTCTCTTGTTCTTCTCTCTTCATTTTCTTATTACATCCAACAGTATTGTATTCACATGGTATGATAGCTTTAGGGCAGGTCCTATTGTGTGATGCTAGTGAACGTCGTGGTATCTTCTCATTGCAACCTTTATTACTGCATTGGATTGGGAGGTCAGGACACTCATCAAAATGACTGCTGCTTGTTATCAGTTGATATCGACCTTTTCGCTTGCAATACTGACAGTTAACTATTCGTTCTGGACAGTTCTCTGTCAGATGTGTCTTCAGTTTACTTCTCCTAATCTTCTCTCCACACTCATTAGTACAAGGTACCAGTTGATAGGGACAACTATCGTTAAGATGAGTGTCAATATCCTTAATAGTCCCCATCCATTGGCACCCACTATCAGTGTTAGTGCAATAAACCTTAAGTGACTTTATTCCCCTTTCTACTCTTCCATCTTTAAAGTACTTTCCTTCTAGTGAGCTACGACAAGTTGGGCAGATAAACCCTTGGCCAAGTTGGCTCTTCTCTTTTAGTGTATCCAGACAGCTCTTACAGTATATATTGTAGCAGCAGGTAACTTGTTGAGGATCCCGTGCTACCAGTGTACAGATGTGGCATAGATACTCATTGGGAGGATCACCAGCCACGAAGTTATAGCTGTAACCACCATATGTTCCATTACTAGTAGCCATTTCCTGTTATTAATTTTTATAGATCACATGATGGTTTATTTTTTTAACCACAGTTATTATTGTAATCTATTCATGCAAACATAGATAGTATCTTTATAATCTGACAATACTGTAAATTCTGTAGTACATGTATATTTATCAATCTTTTAATTGATAAGCTGCTTTTTAATAGTAACCTGTACTTTTGTTATGTTTTTGCTACTAATTTAAACAGACTTCTAAAATCATTAAAACTGATTGATATTAATTTTTTGTTAAGCACACAAATTATTAAGAATTATACTGAGCTCATCACAGTGCTAGCCATGGCTTTGCCTTAGATGTCACCTTGAAGTACAGACTATCATCTTTACGATACTGAAAGACTTGTGAAGGATTATGCCTCAGTGCTGCATGTACTATGAACTTGGAGTAGCCCCATCCGTGCTTGCTGACTTCTCCTCTTGTCACTCTCTCCTTACCAGGACCTGGTGTTGATTCATTATAACGAATAACTCCTTTCTTATGATTCCAGTTGATTCAGAAGCTCTAGGGTTACTTCTCCTTGAAATGGCCACTCCAATGTATCATTGTATTCTCCTGGGCAAGTTAGTTTCTGTCGCTTCTTTTTTGAGCTCTCCAGACAGCTCTTGCAGTATATCTTACCACAGCAGGTGACTTGTTGAGGATCCCTTGCCACTAATGTACATATGTGGCATTGATACTCTTGGGATGTCTCCCCATCAGTGAATGTGTACCTATAGCCTCCTTGTGCTCCTACTTCTGTAGCCATTTATCCTCTAGTCATGTGAGTTTGTTAAGGCCACCATACACGCAGGACAACATTGTTGCTTGAAACTTTGTGGTTACTTTGATCTTTGTTGCTTCAAGTTGACCACTGCTCAACTTGAGGCAACAAGATCAAAGTAGCCACAAAGTTGCCAGCAACATGTTGCCTAGTGTATGGAGGCTTTAAGGTACACCCCTTGTGGTTCTCATTGAATTGTGTGGGGTGTGTTTATATAGCTATAGTATGTTTTTAGCGTTTGTGTATTATGTCATTGTGATTGTTAGAATATCCCGTTTTGGTTTATAAAAATGATACAAAATGGTGATTCAGGTTGATTGGTGTATATATTTGCACCCCTAGATTGTGACATTTCACATGCACCAGCTTCAGCCATAACAAACCATTAATTAAATGCATTAACATGACAATTTTAACCAAAAACAGAATATCAATTACAGTACTTTTAGCAACTTACATGTAATAAATTATGT